AACAAATCAGTTATTACTCCCTTCTTGGGGATTGCAGAATATTCAGGAAGACAAAATTGAATGAAATAGATCATTATAAATTATGATAAGTGTAGAATCTGGTCTAATCTGGGAATTCAAGGAAGGTATCTGTGAGGAAGTGGTATTTGAACTAATTCTGAAGGTTACATCTATATTAACTAAAACAAGTGTGATGGCATAGTAAGCAGCAGGTGTAAATGTCCTGAGGCGGTAGAGTGCGTAGCAAACATGTAGGACAGGGTGATGGGTAAAATAAGGGAAGGCAGAGCCGGGTTAGCTAATCCTAAACAATACAGAAAAGAAGTAAGATTGGATCAGTATGTGGAGAACAGATTTTATAGGACCTGTTAGGATTTTATCTTAAGGGCAGTGTGAAACCACTGAAGTATTTTAAAAGGGGAGTGATAACATCTGGCTTGCATTTTGGAAGGAAGATTCTGTCTGTACATAATGGATTGAAGAGAGGCCATAGACAGCTCATGAGGACTGCGCCGGAAGCCACTGCATGTGCTCCCACACAAGATAATTCAAGCTTGCTTAGGGTAGTGACAGCAGAGATAGGGAAGAGTTAATAGATGGGAGGAGTAGTTGAAGAAATAGATAAATTCTGAATGCATACACCTTTTTTGTACCTTTACAACTGGATAAAAAACCCCTTTAGTTCTGTATATGTTTACTTTTTACAGTAGTTCTCCTGGATAATCATCACCTCCTGTTTATCTTATCTAGCATTGATAGTGACGTCCCTCTCTCACTCTGCTATTTAGCTCCTGTTGATTGGTTGCCTGAAATGCTTGGATGTTTAATAATGAAATATTGATGCATATAAAAGAATATATAAAACTTAAGTACACGTAAAAACTCAAGCACCTGTGATGTGTCATCTTAAAAAGCTATAGTTTTAGCTGTTAGAAGTAATTCTGAAGTATCCCAAAGAATAATTCCTCTTCTATATTTCCCAACTAGCATTCATCAGTTGAAAGGAGAGGGAGGTGGTTGACAATGATTGCAGTAAGAATGGCAATAATAAAATACTTAATGACCCCTAACATGAAGAGAATTATGCCTAATTTAAAAACAAACAATGATTTATGTAATGAGCAATGTTAATATATGATATTAATGCTTTTTTGTTATTAAAGCTTCACATTATAAATTAGTTCCTATTATAATCAAATTATAAAGAAGGTAGAAAGGGAGAAAAATGAGGGACCAGTAGAGCAAGTCAGTGTCTAAAAAGAAGAAAATTATCTTATGAGAACTGCTGAAGCTTTTTCTGGAAGTTGGTAGAAAGAAAGAAGAAAGGTTAGTGGATCAAAGGCTCTACTTGAACTCTCTCATATTATCGTTTGCCTTTGGAAGCACGTACAATTATGGATTATTTAGAGTATTTGTAGACTCAAATCCCTGTCAGTGATTAGTTTTGGGAAATAAATGTGTCAAACCAAAGCGATCTAGTATTTGAATTTCCCTATGAGATTTTTTTTTTGCCATTTCTCTGATTTTAGAAATATTACATTCAAAACTATTTTAAAAATATGTAAAGCCTATCCTTGTAAAAGGTTTATTTAATATGGAGATGGGACCTGTCTATATTCATGAATACTTATCAAATGTAATTTTTATTTTGAATATTTATTATTATTATAAATGAGAATGTTAGTTAAATCCAATCTTGCTTGATTTTAATGCTTTTAGGTATCCCTAAAGGTCAAACTACTTTCCTTGTAAAATAGGACTTTCTAGTCTTTTGTATTATATATTTAAATATTCTCTTTCAAACCTCAAGATGGTACTCATTCTGTGATTGTTATCTAACTTGTTTTATAAATTAATTCTGGTAATGAAAAATGCACTTCCATTCTTTCTCTATTTCACCTCAACCCCTGAAGATTTTTGACAGTAATATGGTCTTCCTTCCTTAAGGCAGTTTAGCATGGAGGAAAGAATAGGGTTTTCTGTTCTTTAGAAATCAGTTTTGGAATCCAAAATAGTTATTCTTAGACATTACCTTACTGGCAGCCATCAGTGGAAAGGAAAGGGAAGGAGAGGGCTTATCAATATGGTGTTAGGAATGACAATTTTGACCTGTTTCAAGGCTAGTTTCATGACTCTTGGAGGCAAGTTATACTTACTTAGCTTCTCTAGTACCCATCTTCTTCCTTTGGAAGATGATAATGATGGGTACCTACTCCATAAAGATTTAAGGTTTTTATAGAGAGGAAAATATATAAAGCACTTAGCATAATGCTTGGCACACAGAATGTGCTCAACAGATGTTAGTTATCTTCCATTTTCATCTTAATTTCCCTTATTTAATTCTGAAATAATTTGTAAATTAATTCTAAGTCACTTCAAAGAAGAGTGCTGATCCCATATGAAATACACTTAAAGCAAAATGTTTGTCTCTGTAAGTGAAAATAGGAATGTTTTTAACCTCCCTCATATAAAGTAGCTTAATTTGCTCTCTTCTCACTTGGGTATGGTTAGCTCAGTCACTGTATGACAGAGTTCTTTGACTCTGAGTGTTTTTCATAGTAAGATAAAAAGTGGAGTAAACAGTCATTCTACTTATTTCTAATGCCTACTTTTCAAAGTTCATATTTGACCTTAAATATTTCCCCAAATAGATTTTAGCATAGAGGTGTTAGTTCCAATGTTTTGTTTATACAGTTAAATACATCAGATTCAGCAATTTAGTGTGGGTGTGGCAGGGATTAGAGAGAATATTAAATGACTTAACTTCTTTAATCAAAATATATCTATATTTTAGGGAGTAAAAATAGTAGCTATATCATTTGAGTTCATGAAGTCTTAGCTGATTTTTAATAATTAATACGTTTTTTCTGCCAGTGAGCATTAGATTACTGCTGACTTTTTAGTGTCATAGTACCTTGTGGTAGTTTCTCTACAGGGTTTAAAGGTGTATCCCAGTGTTTTTTTGTTTTTGTTTTTTTGTTTTCTTGTTTTTTACTGTCCTTTCCATAGGAATTAATCTTTATAAATGCTACAAGGAGACTACCTCTAGAGATTCATACGTGCCATTAATATGTTATAAGGATCGGTCAGTCCCATTGTCTTCTTTTGTCAATCTTGATCGGAGCTTACCGAGTAAGTCTATAAGCCTGCATGTGCCTGGCAACTGTTACCTAGTGACAGTTTCAGCTGCAGTAGCCATTGGCTGTGCTGTTGATTGGGGCAGGAGGACCGAGTCACCTTTCTGATGGTGAGTTCTGCATCAGCTCAGGATGAGGAGGAGAGGAGCAGGGCTCCGGCTCAGGCGGAGGCAGTGATACTGAGAGATTGTGAAGAACATAGCGACAGCATCCTGGTAACTGCATCACAGTAAATCGGACTTCTGAATCAAGCAGCCCAGCCTAGCAGCTGATAAGAGTGAATGTAGGTGAGAAGCATTGCCTTATTCCTGTAAGAAGAGAACTATTTTGTGATAAGTAAAACTAGGAATGTGCAAGGAGGAATATCCTGTGGCTATTATAAAAGAAGGACTTCCCTGAATGACTTGGTGGTGCACGAGAAAATAACTTTCAGAGAAGAATGCTTTCTGTTAAGCTGCTGCTTTGTTCCTGAAGGAAATGTTTTTATTTCTAATGCATGTTACTTCTTCAAGAGGTATGACAACAAAGACTGACAAGAAACTCTCTGAAATAACTGCACTTTTCAAAAGATTTTTGATAAATGTTAACCTGATAACAGAATGACCTTGGAAGCCTTTTGGATGGATTCTGTCCTGCAAGCCTTTCAGTATTTCAAACTCTAGGATTTAAACTCATCTTGATGCTTTAGAGGTATTTTAAAATTAGTCCATCTTATAACCTACCTAATGACCCCTGTATTAATTGAGCACTTGTTCAAAATAGAAAACAGAAATAGAAGAGGCATTTTCATAACATATGGCTGCTGTATAACTGCAAGTATAGCAAACAAGGTAATTTTCCACTTTCAGAAGATTTAGTCGAAGTAATGATTTAATGTGTTAATCCTCTGATGAAAGTAGAAGAGAATAGAAACAGACTACGAAGCCTACTGGAAATGCCTAAGTAATAAATAATGGCAGCATTTCTAGTCAAATGAACTTAGACTATATAGGAAAGTTTCTATTGTTTAAATTTCATATATATGTGAGGTATAGGTGTGGTTGCAAAGGTGAGAAATAACTTGGAGCTGTGTATTTATTATTCCATTAGAAGGAACGTGGCATATCAGATAATGAAAGTTATTTTCAATTATTGATGCTGAAATTAATAACATTTATTTTCCTTTTGAAAAGGAAAAAGTATAAATTACATGTAGCACCAGTAATTGTAATGGACTGAAACTGTTTTCATCTGAGTGCTTTAAAGATTGCATGCAGAATTAAAACTTTACAGTTTATCATGTCTTGTCAGGTGTTAACCCATTGCATATTATCTTCCCTACTGGAAATATGCTTTCATTTCCAGTTATAGGGCAGTCTGGAATCTGTTACCCCTGTTCTGCTCCTTTGTGCCCAAGTAGAGCTGAGTCGTTTAGAATTAACCTTGTGTGCATGTGTGTGTGGAGATTTAGCTTTTTTGAGAAGTGAAAAATAGATCATAAAGTTGATCTATCAGCATCAAACCCTGAACTGAGCCCAAAGACACTCTTTGCCGCAATGAACTTTTTCTTAGATTTGCAACTAGATCTTAGATCTTAATTATTTGAAACTGTAAAATATGAATCCAGTTCTCATGATAGATGAAGTAGGAAGCCTGAGCCAATTTAAGACTCCCTCCTCCCTCATTATTTCTAGTTGATCCCTAAGAAACTACCTTTTCGATGAGACCAAACAGTCCACAAAGTCTTTTCTTCTCTTGGCAATTGAGGTTTTTTTCTTTTTACAGATTTGATTTTTCATAGTTCAAGGTAATAGATCCATTTTCTCTAGAAGTGCCTTGTGTCGTCAAAAAGTTGTTTGGGAGAGCATCAGAGGAAGCTAATCAGTGACCTTTTCTCACCTCCTTTCTAGCTTATTTCCCTTTCTCTCCCCCCAAAGTTGAGACGTGTCACTGCTGCACTGAGACTGATGAAGAGGCTTGAGTACTTTCTGGGATGCTCGGCTGTGACAGAAGCACTGCCACTATCTACCAAAGCTGGTCCCAAGACATTCATGTGTAGAGTTTAACACATGCTGGACAGGGCACCTGCTTGCTGGAGCCAAGGCTACATGTTCCCTTAATTCCAAGCCATGAATGAATCCAGGTGGACTGAATGGAGCCTCCTGAACATGAGCAGTGGCATTGTGAATGTGTCTGAACGTCACTCCTGCCCACTTGGATTTGGCTACTACAGTGCGGTGGATGTGTGCATCTTTGAGACCGTTGTTATTGTCTTGCTGACATTTCTAATCATTGCTGGGAATTTAACGGTCATCTTTGTGTTTCACTGTGCTCCACTGTTACACCACTACACTACCAGCTATTTTATTCAGACAATGGCATATGCTGATCTTTTCGTTGGAGTTAGCTGCTTGGTTCCTACTCTCTCACTTCTTCACTACTCCACAGGTATCCATGAGTCATTGACTTGCCAGGTTTTTGGATATATCATCTCGGTTCTAAAAAGTGTTTCTATGGCATGCCTTGCTTGCATAAGTGTGGATCGCTATCTTGCAATAACCAAGCCTCTTTCCTACAATCAACTGGTCACTCCTTGTCGCCTGAGAATTTGCATTATTTTAATCTGGATCTACTCTTGCCTCATTTTCTTGCCTTCCTTTTTTGGCTGGGGGAAACCAGGGTACCACGGTGACATTTTTGAATGGTGTGCCACCTCTTGGCTCACCAGCGCCTATTTTACTGGCTTTATTGTTTGTTTACTTTATGCTCCTGCCGCCTTTGTGGTCTGCTTCACTTACTTCCACATTTTCAAAATTTGCCGGCAGCACACCAAAGAGATAAATGATCGGAGGGCCCGATTTCCTAGACATGAGGTGGGTGCCTCTGGGGAGACTGGACACAGCCCTGACCGTCGCTACGCCATGGTTTTGTTTCGGATAACCAGTGTGTTTTACATGCTGTGGCTCCCTTATATAATTTACTTTCTTCTGGAAAGCTCCCGGGTCTTAGACAATCCAACAGTATCCTTCCTAACAACCTGGCTTGCTATAAGTAATAGTTTTTGTAACTGTGTAATATACAGCCTTTCCAACAGTGTTTTCCGGCTAGGCCTCCGAAGACTGTCCAGGACAATGTGTACATCTTGTATGTGTGTGAAGGATCAGGAAGCACAAGACCCCAAACCTAGGAAACGGGCTAATTCCTGCTCCATTTGAAGAGAACTATACGTAAATCCAGTGTAATCTGACAGGGGTTTTGGATTGTATTCTTGATTCTTCTGGAAGTTTGCCACTAGAGAAATATTTACTTGAATAGTTGACTATGAGATGAAAGGACTAAAGATTTCTCTTTTTTTCTTTTCTTTTTCCACAGTAGTGGGGGAGGGGGAGCTAGAGAAAAGAACGTATGGAGGGTAATCTCATGAGATAACTATGGTATGTGAGTATATGTGTACAGTAATAGCAAAATTAAGCACTGAAGATGAAAAAAGTATTGAACAAAATATCTCAGATCTTCCACAGGACACGAGCAAAGCCCCTCGGCATCTCTGTCCTCTCTGAGCTCTCTCCTCTGTCTTTGCCTCTCATTCTGTCTGTCTCTCCCACTCTTTTTGTGTTTGTGGAAATTACTTACATAAATTGTCCTTTATAGAAGAATGCTACATATTATATATGTAGCAAAGTACAATTTTTTGCATCAAAGTATACTCTTAAACGTACTAATCTGCAGCCCATAAGTGGTCTCTCCATGAAGGATGCATAGTAAGCATTGTATTTTATTACCTGCCACATAACCCTTTGCTTGTGTTTTTACAATATTCACAGTGCAAATTGTCTGCTATAAAAAAAAAGAAACAGTATTTTTGTTTCTTCTGGGTAAAATTATGCGTACCCACCTTCCACCCCCTTTCTAACAGCCTGCTATTTTTTTTCTTCCATTTTTCATGAGCTGCATCCTTTGGTACCTTAATCCCAAAGTGTCTTAGCTAATGAAAGAATTTACTATATAAAGCAATCATAATGTTAAATAATCTATTCCTTCCAACAAAGGTTGTTTGAGATATCATGTTAAATATTTTTAATAGCTTTTGTATACATTTTTATCTGGTTCCTTTCCAATTAGCTCATGTGCCCGAGTGGTATCTTTTTTTGCTATAATAAAGCTTTGTTTTTCTTTAAGGAAATCCACAAATAATTCTAACGCAGATTTCAGAATATTCACCCAGAAGTGAGGTATTATTCTTCAAGCCACATAGTGTGCCCTCCCACTTTTTTCCCCCTTAATAGTAAATATTAACCTTTTTGTGTTAGGTCTACAAAGTTAGTGTTGCGTCCACCAATCATTTGTGTGATATGTATTTGCATATACTATTTTTTTTTACAACAAAGAAAATGTAAATTATATTATATGATCTGTGCCTAATGTTTTCTTAGCACAATACATAGATCAATGTTGCTTAACTCATCAACATTGGAAAAAATATACAAAAACTTGGAAGAGAAAAATACTTTTGTGTAGTTGTTATTTAGATATTTATATTAGACCAAGCTGCATTCTTAGTACTGCTGAGAATACAATATACTTAATTATTAAATACAGGTAAGAGCTGTCAGTATTTCTTTTTGTAATCTGTTTTCATACACAGAGATTAAATTAACTTATTTTTTAGTGTGCTACATGGAATTGTATAATAAATTGTCAGGGGTTTAGATGTAGCAAAATGGCATTTGGGGAATTAGTAGTGAAGCAGGTGTGAGTGGTAAAACATCTAAATCTTACTTTTTTATTATAAGTTTCCTGCCTGACAGATATTTTAAAGTTTATATCAGACTACTGAGTATTTTTCTTCTCAGCATTTTGATTCCTTTGTTCTATGAAATGCATTTAAGAAATGTGCCTATGACTTCAAATTGGAAGCCAAGTGTGTTTGCACACGAGTGGTTTGACTTCAGAGGTCCATTAGTGGAAATGTCATCATTTTATTGAGGTTGTTCTGAACCCATGTATATTTTTAAACATGTAAAGAAAGGTTTAAAATAAAGAATAAAGTAGTATTCTATGTATCAAAATCAGACTTTGTTTCAGTTTCATAAAACCATTCACTTAGGGTCAAAATGTAATTGTTTCACGTTTCTGTGGTTTGGGTTGTTTATATTAATTCTTGCCCTCTGTTGGCAAGTGGCATTTTGGATATTTGAAATGAGCCTTTTAAGTTCAGACCAGGTAAAGGAAAATAAATTTCAAGAAAGCATAATACTACTAACTTTTTGGCTGTCACAAACAGAATAGTCAACATTATATGTATTATTTGGGAACCAGAATTTGGTTCTTTAGATTGGTGTGTAAATATAGCTCCAAAGCACTCAATAGATAGTCTGTAGAGAAAGCTTGAGTCTGTGTTTATTACATTTTCCTCTTCTGGCTTTTCCTCATGATAATTAATAATGACAATTATGTGTCAAGTTTTAAACACTGTTTTTTTAAAAAATCTTTAATGTTTATTTTTGAGAGAGAGAGAGAAGAGGAGGGGAGGGGAAGAGAGACAGAGGGAGACACAGAATCCAGAGCAGGCTAGGCTCTGAGCTATCAGCACAGAGCCCGACACAGGGCTCGAACTCACAAACCTTGAGATCATGACCTGAGCCAAAGTCGGACACTCAACTGACTGAGCCACCCAAGTACCCCGACACTGTGTTAAGTTATATATATATATTATATAATTATAATATAATATATTTATATTATATTATATTTTATATATAAATATAATATTTATATAATATATATAATAACATTTAATCCTCAGTACACCCCTTTCAGGTACATACTGTTATTATTCTCATCCTAGAGACCAGAAACTCAAGAAGGGTGATTGACACAGGGTCACTCAGTTCCTCCCCACAGGTTCATTCATATTTAGCTGGGTTGGAGCCAAAGCCTACACACTTAACCAGTCTGCTTCACCGCTTTTCTGTTTTTCTTCAAAAGCCTTTAAACCTTTGTACCTGTCTATACCTTTTCCTTATAAATTTCTCTGAGTTTTATTTTTTTCCTCACCTAAATCTTTTGCTGTAGTCCTTTCTATACCTTGTGATATCTTTTTCCTCACTCTTACAAATATCTTTTATTAAAACAGCAATGTGGTAAGCCCAAACTTGCCAGTTTAGCCTATAATCAAACTGAAACCCTGGGCATAGCATGACATTGCCTTTATTTATTTTTGTTAAGTTTTTGTTGAATAGTTTCTTCAGATCTCTGTAAATTCCTGTTGAAAAAAATTTTTTGAGGAAGGTGAGTGGAAGAGAAAAGTGTTACCACATTCTGAACATTTTCTGTGTGTCAGGAGCCATGCAGAGCACATAGGCTACATTAGCTTGTTTAGTCCTCAACTCTAGTCCAACAGGAAGGTATAAGACCCTGGATTTCAGTCCAGGTCTCATACACTGGAGTAGCAAGGGGAGTCTATAAGGCAAGTTCTACTAGGTTTAGATTTTTCATTTATTATAATGTTTTATGTGCAACTCTCAGACAAGCCTTTAACTTCCTTTTGACATATTTTAATATGTGTTTATGTAATAGTACTTATTTTGAAACAACCCTGTCTTTTTTATATTAATATGCTTTAAGAATAGAAAGCATAACCATTATTCTCATCATTATATTGTATTCTGTGGTAATTATCCAATTTGGTTATAAGTAACAGCGAAACAATAATGCCATAGTCTATTACTAAAGGTTCTATTATCTGTGGAGCTGTTTCTTTAGTTACATAGTATTCGAAGTCTTTATAACGTACCAGTTTATGAGACCTGGACTGAAGTCCTGGCCTCTAGAGGCTGTTTATCCCTAGGTAAGACACTGAATGTTCCAAGTCCTCATTTTTCTCCTCAGTAAAACCCAGGGACTTGTACCATCCTGTTGGGCTAGATTTGAGGACTAAACAAGCTAATGCAGCCTATGTGCTCTGCCTGGCTCTTGGCACAGAGAAAACTTTCAGAATGTGGTAGCTTCTGTTTCATTATCTTTGTGGCCACCATATTCATTGGCACCATAGTTTCAAGATCACTAATTACAATGTAAGAAGATTACATTTTATAACAGAATGAATCCATTGAGTATAAGAGTTTCCTAAAACAGCATTTTTTTCATATCTGTTTAAACTCAGATTTTGGCTTAAACTCAGATGTTTTTAAATATAGAAAACTTCCATAATTTCTGAAAGCTCCTTTTCCAGGAATGATTATTCATGAAGACATCATTTGACATTAAGTATAACCAGCAAGTTGTTATAACCAATTGTTGGGATGATGCTGAGATTAATTTACCTCCGTACATTATTGCATAAAATATGCTAGGCCATTTTTCTTTTGTCAGCTCGGCAATAGCAAGAAAGGATTGTTCAGGAATGTTTTGCCATTTGTCCTTACATTTTAATTTTCTTCACTTACTAAAATGGAATTTAAGGTGTTTTGTTATGTACTGGTTACCTGGAAGAAACAAAGATTAACTGACAGGTTTATTCTGCACATAGCACTAATTTATGAATTTAGAAATAAATGAAGTTGTTACCTTAAAGGACTGTTCTCTGTCTCTCTCCACTGTGGAAGCTAATCATTAGATGTGGAAAGGATACAGCATGTGATAAAATGAGATTAAATTGTGGGGAATTGGTTAGTGTACCATGTTCAGGTGGGGCCATCACAATGCACAGGAGCTTAGGTTATTGAGCTGATGTGATATTTTGATGTGTATGTTCCAACAGTTGCTCTTTTCCCTGAAAAAAACTTTGTTTCTGGATTAAGAAGAATATGTAATAAGTGGCATATTCTGCAACCAAATACATAGACATCGAGGAAAACAAAGTGACTAGAAAAGAAAAAGAAAACAGATTCCCTTTTCATTGTTTCTTGTGAGTTTCATCCAGTGTTCGTTTTACTCTATAATTTAAAATATTCAGAACCTTGTTTAATATCATAAATGGTTGTGTTTTAAAATATTAATAGTGATGGGATTGGGTCTTCATTATCAATATTCTGTTTAATTTTTTTTTTAGAAATGAGCATCTACTTTGTAATCAGAAAAACAAAATTGTTGTTATTTAAAAAATGATGAAAAAAAAAGAATGTTGGGGTGCCTGGGTGGCTCAGTGTGTTGTGTTTGTCTCTTGATTTCAGCTCAGGTCATGATCTCATGGTTTATGAGATTGAGCCCCACCTTGGGCTGTGCACTGACAGTGCAGAGCCTGCTTGGGATTCTCTCTCTCCCCTACTCCTTCTCTCTCTCTCTCTCCAAAAAAAAAATAAATAAATAAATAAACAAACTTAAAAAAAAAAAGAGAATGCTGACTATTTAAACAATAGTTTGACATTTCACAAAACAGTGCTTGTTGACTCAGCAAGTAACATTATCCAGTCATGTCTCAGGAGTGTCTTCTTTTAAAGATGGTTATATAGATTTCATTTTTTCAGTTTTTATTTTAATCCTAGCTAGTAAACATATAGTATTATATAAGTTTCAGGTGTACAATGTAGTGATTCAACAATTCCATATGTCACCCAGTGCTTATCACTGGTACATTCCTTAATCCCTATCACCTATTTAACCCAACCCTCCCCTCCCTCCCTCCGTAACTATCAGTTTGTTCTCTGTAATTAAGAGTCTGGTTCTTGATTTGTCTCTCTCTCCCTCTCATTTTTCCCCTTTGGTTGTTCGTTTGTTTCTTAAATTCCACATGAGTGAGATCATATGGTATTTGTCTTTTTCTGACTTATTTCACCTAGCATTATACTCTATAGTTCCATCCATGTCATTGCAAATGACAAGATCTCATTCTTTTTTATGGCTGAATAATAGTCCATTGTGTGTATATATCACATCTTCTTTATTCATCAATCGATGGATACTTGGACTGCTTCCATATCTTGGCTATTGTAAGTAATGCAGCTATAAACATAGAGGTGCATGTGTACCTTTGAATTAGTGTTCAAAGACTGATTTCCACAGTGGCTGCACCAGTATATGAGTGTTACTTTTTCTCCACATCTTCACCAACACCTTTTGTTTCTTCTGTTGTTGATTTTAGCCATTCTGACAGGTGTGATGTAGCATCTCATTGTAGTTTTGATTTGCATTTTCCTGATGATAAATGATGAAAACATTTTGTCATGTGTCTGTTGTTCATCTGGATGTCTTTGGAGAGGTATCTGTTAATGTCATCGGCCCAATTTCAATTGGGATTATTTTGTATTCCGGGTTGTTGTATAAGTCCTTTATATTTTTTGGATACTAAACCTTTGTCAGATATGTCATTTGCAAATATCTTCTTCCATTCCAGGTTGTCCTCTCGTTTTTTCGATTGTTCCTTTGCTCTGTAGAAGTTTTTTTTTTTTTTTTGACGTAGTCTAAATAATTTATTTTTGCTTTTATTTCTGTTGCCTCAGGGACCTATCTAGAAAAAAGTTGCTATGGCCAATGTCAGAGAAATTACTGCCTGTATTCTTTTCTAGGATTTTTATGGTTTCAGGTCTCACATTTAGGTCTCTCATCCATTTTGAATTTATTTTTATGTATGGTATGAGAAACTGGTCCAGTTTCATTCTTTTTCATGTTGCTGTCCAGTTTTCCCAAAACAATTTGTTGAAGAGATTGTCTTTTTCTCACTCGATATTCTTTCCTGGTTTGTTAAAGATTAATTGACCACATAATTGTGGGTTCATTTCTGGGTTTTTCTATTCTGTTCTGTTGATTTATGTGTCTACTTTTGTGCCCATACCATACTCTTTTGTTTACCACAGCTTTGTAATATAATTTGAAGTCTGGAATTGTGATGCTTCCAGCTTTGCTTTACTTTCTCAAGATTGGTTTGGATATTCAGAGTCTTTTGTGTTTCCATACAAAATTTAGAATTTTTTGTTCTAGTTCTGTGAAAAATGTGGTTGATATTTTGATAAGGACTGCATTAAATGTATACATTGCTTTTGGCAGTATGCACAT